GGGAAAAGAGATAAAAATCTCAAACAAATAATTTTTCTTATTCAACAAAACTCCACGACTGACTCTTCTACAACAGAATAAATAGACTCCTATACCTAGTAAAGTCCTAACTTGCTAATCAAGTTTTAATCTTAAGTGATAAATATTATCCTAACAATAAAAGTGATAAATAAGTAATAATACAAATAATAATTATGTGACTAAATATATTTTTAATGCTGGCATTCGATCGTATTTCTCCAAGAAAGCTATTGCGAGCTCGTCTTCATCATCATCCTCCGGTTGAGGAAGATGATGCTGAGGGGTGCCTCTGGTGCAGCCACTGGTGCACTCGAACCTCCGTGTGCCGCTGGGAGGAAAGACGACGAGGCCCGGCGCGCGAGTTGTTGCTCGACAAGAAGGGCTCGCTGATGCGCGTCCGAAACTGAATATGGGACAAATAAATTAAGGGTGTCTCAAATCGACAATCGCAACCCTCCGATATAACGAGAAACAACCTGATCGGGCGTTTCACGCACGTCCACCCTCGTGAGGAGACGATAAAATTCGTCAGTATACTCGTCCACGGAACGTGAATCAAGTTTTGAAGTTTTTTGATAAAGTGTACGCACATAATTAAATGGGAGAAACTCACGCTCGATATGCTTTCGGAATTTGGCCCAGGACGAAATATTTGGTTTACCCTGACGATGCCGCAAACCCTTCAACTATTGCCACCAAGCCGCCGCTCGGCCCCGAAGGCGGGTTGCGACTAGCCCAACCTTCTGGGCAGGGGAAGGAAAGAAAGCGAGGCATGCTCTCTTCCGGTACATCTTTAAACTCCAATACGGCTTCTACCGCCGCCACCTAGTCAAGGAACTCGGGAGCATCGAGCCCCCCCGTAGTACATCGACGCGAAAGGAACCCTCCCAATTAACTCCGCTGCCCTCGCTAAGTTCTGTCCGAACGGGTTAACCTCCTCCTCCGTGGCATCGGAATCACCATCCTACTCCAGCGGTGGCGTCCGTGTACCACCAAAACCCCCCAGACCGCGACCCCCGCGGCCCCGAGACCCTCCGCCGCCGCCGCCTCGTCCGTCGAGACCGTCACGGTTCGTTTGATCACGTTGCAACATCGTCTAGAGAGCCAAACACATGTCCTGCATGCCCGCTGAAAGATCCGCCATCTCTTGTCCGATGCTGAAATTGTCCACTGAACCCTTCTGATTGTCTCGTCAAAGACTCAATCGCAGCATCACGACGATCATCCACAGTTTCTCTTCTCGGCGCCATCTGGAACGTCCTGGGCTCTTATACAAACTGATGTAGCGCAGCTTCGAACAAAACGGAAAGAGATAGAAAATTTCAAACAAATAATTTTTCTTATTCAACAAAACTCCACGACTAACTCTTCTACAACAAAATAAATAGACTCCTATACCTAGTAAAGTCCTAACTTACTAATCAAGTTTTAATCTTAAGAGATAAATATTATCCTAACATTAAAAGAGATAGATAAGTAATAATACAAATAATAATTATGTGACTAAATAAATTTTTAATGCTGGCATTCGATCGTATTTCTCCAAGAAAGCTATTGTGGTGCATACTAAGTATTATTATTATTATTATTAGGATTAGGATTAGTATTAGTATTCTTACTATTATAACAATTAATATTATTTAATAATTAATAGCTTGGAGAATAAGCTAGGGTATAATTTGAGGGCTTTATTTAAAGAGATCTGATGCTTTGTTATGAGGGAGTTAAATTTGAAATGAAATAAAGATATTGTCGAGTTTTGCGTGTTTTACGAGAGAGTATCTCGTTTACTCGTATTTTTTCCATTCGTTCACGATTTCCCTACATCAGTTGGTATCAGCAGTCAGTACGATCGCGATGCTGCCGGGACGAGAAGATGCCGTAAACGAACATCGTGATACCACATTCAACGATCGGTTTCAACAGATTGACTACCGATTTTAAGAGTTGGACGTGCGTTTCACGAATTTGTTTGCCGATCTTTCAACGGGGATAGAGGATGTGTGTTTGACGCAGAACAACGTGGTTGTTACGGAAAGGCAGATGGACCGTGATGGAGGTCGTGACTATCGTGGGGGATACAGAGGCAGTCGTGGGGGAAGCAACCATGTCGGGGCGCCCCGACAACGATCCCAGCACCTCTTAACGGCAACGGCGTTGGCGACTCTACCAGGTCGGCTAACCCGTTTACAGATCGACCACCATGGCAAAGAGCCAACACCATCGGTCAGCTCCGAACTCGCGAACAGTGGCGGGATGGCGTTGGTTTCGAACATGGTGGCCATCGAGACGACAAGAAAACCCTAGGAGCTGTACGATTGCGCAGTCGACAACGGACTAAGGAGGGTGTTGATTACCAATTTCGGGCCAGTCGCGCAACCCTAGGTGGCTATTCCCAGCGAAATGCTTCAGGCTTCAACCATGAATTTCAAAGACGTGGGCCCGATCGAGAGGACTCAGACATCACTGGGTTCAGAATGTTGCGACGCTGCTGGGACGACGGGAACGAGGCTGCCGGCTACGGCGGCGCATCCCGACGGTGCATTAAGGTGCCAGCTTGCGATGAATTACATTTTTTCGCTGGCAAGAGAAGAAATTTCCGGCAAACTGAGGCGGGCTGGGGTCTCGAGGGGCGGCGCATCGCGGAGGACGCCGGCGACTACCATTGTCGAATTGCCTGGGCGGACGAACAAACCCTATGCGATTTCTGCCCACGCGCACAGAGGAGACCGGATGGAGGGCGTGCAGCGATCTGAGAATTTGTCGGACGACGCGCAGCTGCGGGATGTCTCGATGGTCCTGGGCACGACCGGCGAGCGACAGGTGCCGGATTAGCAGAGGTGCGGCGCCCGGATTGGAGAGTTGGAGGGGGTCGCGATTTGGGCGATGGAAGAATTGATGTGCAGAGAGAAGGTGATGAGAACAGATACAAAAGGTGTCGAGAGTTTTTTCTTATTGGGCCTGTGCAGGGACGGCCCAATTTCATTTTTTGGTCCCAAGTGAGGGATGCACTTAATCACAATTTTTGGGCTTGTAAAGTGGATGCAAAATTTGGGCTAGTACAGAGTGATCTCGACAGCTATTTTGGTAGTGATTTTGGTAGGGAATTTGGTTACTGGGTGGGCCCGTCTCGGGCCGACTTTCCTGACTTTGCCGAAGATCACGATGACGACCCAATTTACGACGGTCAGCCCATTTTTTATGAGGAGGCTCCGGTGATGAAAACGTATTTTTACAGTAATAAGGGTCCCGCATGGGATGTTGCAACGATTACGTCTTCTAATGAGAAGCCGTCATTCACACCCAATTTTTTGGGTATTCTGGCCAAAGATGGTTTTTCGGAGCCGAAGCCGATGCCCAATAATTGGTGGCCTATTTTCCGATTTCCTTTCGCGAAGTCTCCCAACAACGGGATGTTTGGCCGTTGTTATGGATTTGAGCGCGGCAAACGAGGTGGTGTTTTTGGTGTTCATTCAGTTTTGCGGGCTTTGCGAATGGTGACGTGTACATGTGCCTTCACATCAGTTAAGTCCTTGACTGAGATTATGTTTATGTTCGAGGTTATTGGACGACATTTGACATTCGTGTTTGATCGAGGGAAGTGTCATGGGGTATTCTTGTCATGGGGACGACTCCGACGGGAACGGGTCGGATTCGAGGCCGAATCCTGCTCAATCGGGGGAGAATGGTGCAGACTAAGTATCACTATTATTATTAGGATTAGGATTAGTATTAGTATTCTTATCATAATTTTACCAAACATAGCCTAAATACAAACTAAAATATTGTGAAGTAAAAAAGGGTTACGCCCATGTTTTTCTGAAAAACATCAAAAATAATACAGCTTAAAAAAATGGAGCAACAGCCAAATGTTGAAAACAGAAGCAGCCTTTCTTGAAAAATGGTGTATTTCCCCCTCTGTAAATTGAGGGGGAATTCTAATGAAAAATTCACAACCAAAAATACAGAGAAGAAAAGGAAAACGAGTGTAAGCTAGAAAAAGATTTTAGTGTGGGTATTTTTGAGTTGTGTGTGAGTTTACGAATGTTTTGTAAACACGTGTGTTTTCTTTTCTCCTAATAAAATATCTGCAGTAGTCCGGATTGATTGTGTGATTGAAATCCGGATATGTGATAATTGCGACATATTTTCATACCTCTTTCGCACTTTATGTGGGTGAAAAAGTTACTGTGTAAAAACATTGTGGAAAGAATATGCTGACAGCTATAGAATTGTGATACAATAGTTATGTGGTTCATTCGGATATTTGCACTTTCTAGTGTAAAAAAATTATATTATTTTGCGACGATGTAAAAATTATTAATATATATTTATAGTGGGATAAGAAAGATGTGATACAACATAATAACTCTACATTTTTATTTACCAACCTCTTTTTTTTTTTAAAAAAAAAATACTTAATTGAATTCACTAATAGTAAGACCAAGTAATACAGTTCACATTGCTTGTCAATTGTCATTTGTCATTTGTCACTAATTGATTCCAAAATAAATCGTACGAGCAAGGACGAGAGGCCAGCAGCCCAACAACTTTCGAGTCATTCCCCAATAATCCAAACGCGCCCCTAACTTTGCTTACCTCACTTCCCCATTTTCCAACTAATAAACAATCATTGTAATGATTATTATTCCACATATATAATAATGGGAAATATCGTGTCCCTATTACGGAACTATTCCATCGGATTTGTACTATTAGATCATCGTGTAACGATTGTGAATAGTTGATCTAAGGATTACAAATCTCGTTGATCTAACGGTTACAAATGTCTTTCGTCCGGTTACAATAATACTAAATTGTACCTGCCAAGTACGCTTATCTGTACTTCTCTGCCTCCCCCTCACTATTTATATCCCCAAAATTCCTTCCATTCTCAAATTCATCCTGACTTGGTAGAAAAACCCACACTCCAATTTTCCATCTTTAATTCCTAAATTCCGGTCAGGATAAAATAGAGAATGAAGAAGCTAATGAGGAGGCTGTCGAGGGTCGGCGACTGTGGACCGGTGGGCGTGCCGGAGGGTCACCTGCCGGTGTACGTGGGGGAGGAGATGGAGAGGTTTGTGGTGGGCGCGGAGCTTCTGAACCACCCAATCTTCGTGAAGCTGCTCAACCGGTCGGCGCAGGAGTACGGCTACGACCACCAAGGCGTGCTCCGAATCCCATGCCGCGTGCTCGTCTTCCAGCGCGTGCTCGACGCTCTCGGCCGCGGCCGGAAGGCGCGTGGGGATGCGTGGGAGCTGCTGGGCTCGCTGGCCGATGAGTTGTAGTAGGCGGGGGAGGCCGCGTTGGCTTGTACTGTTAGCTAGCTAGGTGACAGAAATTCCATTTTATACTTAATGTTTTTCTTGTGAAGTTGGAGAAAATGATTTTCCCCTTTTCTTTTTTTTTTGGATTCTCGTCTCTAAATAGAGATAAAGATTTTTATTTTTTTTTATTATAATTACTATTATTATCATTTATTTTTTTTTTTGGGTTGTGATCGGAATCTATCAAATAACTTAGATTTTGAGTAGTCGATTTTCTCTTGATCTCCGAATCGTGATTGATTTTTTCGTTCGAGTACTTTAAAAAAAATGTCTTGAGAATT